AGGTCGGTCTTGGGCGGGCCCTCCCCAGAGCACACCCTCTGTCTTCTCTGCTGCGAATAGGACCAGCTCCCCACCGCGCTGGAGCACACCAGCATGGGCTTCCCAGATCCACATGTGCCCTCAGTGTTCACTGCAGCGCAGCGCAGCGCGGTGTACAGCAGCAGCGTGAGCACCAACAGGCTGGACACGGCGCAGATGGCGATGATCAGGTACAGGTTGACAGCCACCAGTGATGTCTCAGAAGGTGCAGTACTGTAGGAAGTGAATGAAGAGATCTTGGTGACCTGGCCATTCTCTACCAGAGACAACAGCACGGTAGCGGTGACGGTCATTGCTGGTTCGCCATGGTCTTTCACCAGCACCAACAGGCGTTGTCGAGGCGCATCTGCTTCGTCCAGGGCGCGCGTTGTGCTGATCTCACCCGTGTACAGACCCACACGGAACGGACTGCGTGAGCTGCCTGCAGCCAACAGCAGTTCATAAGACAACCAGGCGTTGTAGCCAGAGTCCGCGTCCACTGCGCTTACCTTCGACACTACGTGACCTGCACCCACTGACCGCGAAACCAACTCGCTAATCGCGCCACCAGTGTCGCCAGCCCGAGGTGGCAGCAGTGTGGGCGCATTGTCGTTCTCATCCAGCACGAACACCTGCAGAGTCACATTGCTGCCCAGGACAGGCACACCAGCATCCCGCGCGCTCACCTGGAACTGCAGCAGCTCCAGCTCCTCATGGTCCAGAGGCTGCAGCGCATACACCTTGCCGCTCTCCGCGTGCACAGACACGTAGCTCGACAGCGCGCGCTCGCCCACCCGCCGCTCCACCAGCGAGTAGGACACCAGCGCGTTCTCCTGCGCGTCCGCGTCCACCGCCGACACCGTGAAGATGTGGGCGCCCGGCGGGTTGTTCTCCTTCACGAACACCGTGTATTCGGGCTGTGCGAACACAGGCGCGTTGTCGTTCACGTCAGCCACCTCCACAGACACGCTGGCCATGGCCCACAGCGAAGGCGAGCCTCCGTCCCTCGCAGTCACCACCACCTTATAGTCGGTTTTGGTCTCGCGGTCCAGGGCGCTGTCCAGCACCAGCGAATAGTAATTCTTGAAAGTAGACACCAGTTTGAAGGGGACGTTAGGTGTCAGGGAGCAGGTGACCTGCCCGTTGGCACCAGAATCACGGTCAGACACGCTAATCAGGGCGATGACAGAGCTAGGCTGAGCATCTTCTCTGACTGGGAGTGACAGAGACGTAATCATTACCTCTGGTGTATTATCATTTATGTCTAGTATTTCCACCAAAAGGGTACAATGACCCGTCATTGGAATATTCCCTCTGTCCACTGCCTCCACGGGTATTTCATATAATTTCTTTTCTTCGAAATCCAGTTTGCTTTTTGTCCTAACTTCTCCACTGTTGGGATTTATGTCAAATGTTCCTACCACTGCAGGTGATACAGGCCTTCTGAAGGAATAGATTATATCTCCATTTGTACCATCGTCGGAATCCGTGGCATTTAGTTTAATCACCAATGTTCCATTAAGTGCATTCTCTAACACTCTAACTTTATAAATTAATCGATCAAACTCCGGAGCATTGTCATTCACATCCAGGATAGTGATCAGCAGCTGAACTGTGCCAGTCAGCTCTGGTTTGCCTCCATCGGTAGCTGTGAGTAATAGACTATGTTCCTGAATTTCTTCTCTGTCTAGTGTTTTCCTTAACACAAGTGATAACGAAAATCTTTGCTCACGATTATTTTGTGTGTCCAAAACGAAATAATCATTGGAATCCAGTCGGTAGGTCAAGGCGGAATTTACTCCAATATCTGCATCAGATGCGCCATCTAGTGGAAATCTAGTTTCCGGAGGTCTAGATTCTGCGATCATTATACTTTTGTTACTTTCGGGGAACAATGGTCGGTTGTCGTTAATGTCCCTCACCTCCACCTCCACATGGAAAACCTGCAGCGGCCCGTCCACGATCACCTCCAGGTGGATGCTACACTCCGCGCTCCTCCCGCACAGCTCCTCCCGGTCGATCCGAGAATTCACAAACAAAATACCATTCTGCAGATTTACCTCCAGAAGGTCCCCGCGGTCCTTGGACACCACCCTGAACAGGCGGGGCACCAACTCGGCCAGTTCCAGCCCCAGGTCCTGCGCGATGCGGCCCACGAAGGTGCCGTGTTTGGCCTCCTCTGGGACGGAGTAGTGCAGCTGGCAGCTCCCTGCCCGCCAGGCTGTGAAGAGCAGGAGCCAGGGCAGGAGGCGCCAGGATCCTGGGCCTCTTTGCCAAGATAAGAGCATGGTGCAGCCAGAAAGATTCAGTGATGCCCAAGGTATAGAAAGTGCCTTACCCAAAACTGCCTTTCAAAGACCAGTTTGATGACCTTCTAGTACTGGAGAATTCGCAACAGAGTTTCCACTGTCGGTTTTTCTAAAGGAAGAAGCAGTGAGTTTCTTCACAAAAACGTTCTCAGTGAAGAGCGACACCATGCGCACGAATGTGTAACTGTAGCGAATTCTCGGCCTTCTTTTCCATTGATTGATCTTTATTTCCTTCCATTTTCTGAATTGTTGTTGTTGCAAATATGTAGCTGGGAGTTAAATATGTATCCTTCCAGGGACAGTAAGTCACTTATTTGTTAAGGATTCGGTGTTACTGAACATGAGGTGTATATGATCCACTTTTCCCACAGACTTATTTTTACATGTGTAAAAACTTAAAACAGGGAGACTATTACACATTTGGCTTTGGACTAACAGGCTTATAGTTCTCATAGTCTCATAGGCTTTGCTGGTAATGTCCCTTTCCTGGAATATTTTTCAAAACCTTCTCTCGTAACAGTCGTTAACTCCAAACAGAAACATAAAGAATCACATAAAACAGATGAAGGTGGATAATGTTACTAAATTATAGACCCGATTTCAAATAATATACCATATTTACAAATTCATCCCAAAGGGTGGATAAAATGTTTGTCTTTTAAAGAAAATGTCTACTCATAATGTGTGTGTATTTGTGTGTGTACATAATCTCACAATGAGCTGCATGAAACAATGTTTTGAAGTTTTCAGTTCAACTTGTAGAAGGCAAGAAAGCATGCCAAGAGCTAGCATTCTATTATTTGGTATAATTTAAGTTAAGCTTGCCCTTTCCCCTGCTGCATCTCATTCCATCATCGGTAGGAGAAACCGTTATCATTTTCCAAGTATGCAACAATAGCTACACAATGAAACTAACCTATCTTCAGAAAAAAAGAGAGGAAGGAAATATTATTTTATCTGTTATTATTCCTACCAAGTCATTAAGGTCCAGGTGGAACAGTACAATGAAAAATATTCTATATATTATAAACATAAATGTTACATAGCTCCAATATTATGTTATAAATTATATAGGTGTGATTATTACCTTGCCTGCTCTGTGCATTACTCTATAGAAAATGACAATTGGGTTCATTTCTGGACTTCTATTCCCCTCTGAAAAGTGATGTGGAGCATTTGTATTCTCTTGTCCTCAAAATTCCCTCTTTCTCTACTATTTCTATTAAAATACTTTATTCTTGTAATGAAACTAGTTCCTTGTTTCTTCCTAATGCTTCTTGTCTACCAGACTGTACCCTATTGCTTCACTCACTTCTCCATATAAGCCAACTCTCTGCAATATACCTTTCCAGACACCATACAATCATGCATCTATTATCTTGCTTCTTAAACATTTTCTTTAGTCTCTAACCAAGGGGACCCTAAGTGCCAGTACCTGTATCCTTAAAGAATAAAAACAAGATGAGGAGGCATGAAGACAAGGAGGAGGCAATGTGACCATAAAGACAGATACTGTAGTGGTGTGGCCACAAGCCAAGGAATGCCAACAGCCATCAGAAACCAAAAGAGACAAAGAACAGATTCTCCTCTAGAGCTTCTAGAGGGACTTCAGCCCTGCAAACTCCTTGATTTGGGGCTTCTGGCCTCAAAAGTTGTAAAACAATTAAATGTTGTTTTATACCACCTGAGGTCATTTGTTACAGCTGCCCAAGAAACTAGATACCCACGTACCTGTACTCTTTTCTTCAATGAATTTTTTCATTCTTCAGTGTGTCTCTGTGATTTTATCTTTTAATGAATTTACATTTTCCCTGAAGGGATTAATACTCCTTAAGGGGGTTATGTTTGACCCCCTCTGAGTTCTAGATCCACATTTCCAATCACAATGCTGTGCTTGTGCCTCAAAAGAGAGTTAAGTGTTTCTCTTACTCCCTACCTGCTCAAACACACACAAGCCATTTCTCTAGCTGTTATACATCTTGTTTAAAAGAAATATGATCCTCCCAGTTCACAAGCTAAAAACGTGTCATGTACAATTTTTGTCTTCCTCTATCATTTGCATTGAGTCAATCATCATCTGGTTGCTTCTACTTTGCCAATGTCTCTTATAAATGGTTCCTTCCATTGATGTTTTACTCCCACTAGTTAAGTCTCCATCACTTGATACCTAAATTGTTATGGAAGATCCTCTATGACTTTCTTATCTTTATAATCTTCCCCTGCTCTAATCCTTCAAGTACACATTTTCTAGAGAAAACCCATTTATTATATTTATCTTCCTCCTCTAATATCTTACTGTTGAAATGTTATGTCTTGAAAATAGCAAAATTATAATCTCCAAATCAAATATAAACTACATATATATTATTATTACTATTGTTATTACACTTGTAATATAATGTATCTGTATTGTGTGAAAATTAGCACAATAATTGATGAGGTTATTTTCCTAACATTGAAGAATCAACTAAGAAATCTCTTCAAAGATGTATAAGAACTCTTTGAAGTATTCTGTAATTTCCTTGTAATCCTGAAATGCCAAATTTTTAATAATAAGAGTTATCAAACACTTGGCTGGGTTTTCACCTAATATATTATTATTTCTCAAGGCTAATCATTCATAGGTAAGAAAAAGAATGTAAAAAGAAAAAAGTGATGATCCAGGATCTTCAACACATGATGCATAACGTATGCACTGGCTGGTACAAAAAATAACTAAGTATGAGTAAATCAGAGAATCTGAGGCAGTCGATGATTTAAAAGATACTTTTAGAAAGAAAACTAAGGGGGAAAAGGATATAGTTTAGAACCTAAAACCAAGTTATTAAGAGAAATAAAAATACTTGAATGATATCAATGACTTACTTCACTGGAAGGATTTAAGCAGTTTTCTTGAAACTGAGGGTTAGGGCTGAAGGCCATAAGATCTGTATTAGATGGGACCACTCCAGAGCACACCCTCTGTCTCCTTTGCTGCAATTGTGACAAGCTCCCTATCTCGCTAGCACACACCAGCATAGGCTTCGAAGGCCCACCTGCCTCCTCTGTGGACACCACGGAGTAATGCAACACAGTATACAGAAGCAGCGAGAGCACTAACAGGCAGGATACTATGCAGATGGCATGATCAAGTACACATTGACATTCACTAGAGATGCTTCTGGTATGGTCGCACCCACAGAGGCCCGGGACAAGACTTTTGTTGCCTGGCCACTGTCCACTAGAGACACCAGCACAGTGGCTGTGGCAGTCAATGCTGGCTCACCATGGTCTGTCACTATCACCACCAGGTGCTGGCTCAGTGCATCAGCTTCATCTAGGGTGCGCGTGGTGCTGATTTCCCCTGTATACAAGCCCACCCCGAGCAGGCTGCGGATGTCACCAGGCCGACGACTGCAGCTCATAGGATAGCTAAGCATTGTAGCCAGAGTCAGCATCAACTGCACATACCTTGGCCACCACATGACCCGCACCCACTGACCTAGGCACCAGTTGGCTCACCACGCCGCCAGCCCCTCTCGCCAAAGGTGCTAGTAGTGCGGGAGCATTGTCATTCTCATCCAGCACGAACACCTGCAGAGTCACCTTGCTGCCCAGAGCAGGCACACCAGCATCCCGCGCGCTCACCTGGAACTGCAGCAGCTCCAGCTCCTCATGGTCCAGAGGCTGCAGCGCATACCCCTTTCCGCTCTCCGCTGGCACAGACACGTAGCTCGACAGCGCGCCCTCCCCCCCCCGCCGCTCCACCAGCGAGTAGGACACCAGCGCGTTCTCCTGCGCGTCCGCGTCCACCGCCGACACCGTGAAGATGTGGGCGCCCGGCGGGTTGTTCTCCTTCACGAACACCGTGTATTCGGGCTGCGCGAACACAGGCGCGTTGTCGTTCACGTCAGCCACCTCCACGGACACGCTGGCCGTGGCCCACAGAGAAGGCGAGCCTCCGTCCCTCGCGGTGACCACCACCTTATACTCATCTTTGGTCTCGCGGTCCAGGGCGCGGTCCAGCACCAGAGAATAGTAATTCTTGAAGGTGGACACCAGCTTGAAGGGGACGTTAGAGGTCAGAGAGCAGGTCACCTTCCCGTTTGCTCCAGAGTCAAGGTCGGACACGCTGATCAGAGCGATTGCGATTCCCACCTGGGCATCCTCTAGTACAGGGAGTGACAGCGAAGTAAACTTTATCTCCGGGACATTGTCATTCACGTCCAAAACTTCCACCAGGACTATGCAGTGACCTACCATGGAAGGAGTCCTTTTATCGATTGCTTTGACCTGAATTTCATATGCATTGTTCTCTTCAAAATCCAATTTCCCATAAATTCTAACTTCGCCTGTTTCTGAGTTTATTAAAAATACACATTTCTCATTTTTAGGCTGAATCATCCTGATCGCATAGGAAATTTCTCTATTTAGGCCTTCATCCAGATCAGAAGCATTTAGTTGAATTACTTTGGTGTCGTTTGGGACATTTTCAAACAACACTACTCTATAACCAAGTTTATCAAATTCTGGTGCGTTGTCATTCACATCCAGGATGGTTATTTGAATCTGAACAGATCCTGTTAGCTCCAGTTTACCACTGTCAATGACCATCAGCGATAAACTGAGTTTCGATATTTCTTCTCTGTCCAACAATTTTCGAAGAATCAGTACAGGCAACATACTTCTATCTGTCTTTATTTTAAGTGCAACATGCTCGTTTCGGCTTAACATGTAGGTCAGGAGAGAGTTTATGCCAATAGCTGCATCCGAAGCGCCCTCTAGAGGAAACTGGGTGTCCAGAGGCGCAGATTCAGAAATTGGTACCTTTTGTTCTCTTTCTGCAAACACTGGCCGGTTATCGTTAAAGTCCCTCACCTCCACCTCCACGTGGAAAACCTGCAGCGGCCTGTCCACGATCACCTCCAGGTGGATGCTACACTCCGCGCTCCGCCCGCACAGCTCCTCCCGGTCGATCTGAGAATTCACAAACAAAACGCCATTCTGCAGATTTACCTCCAGAAGGTTCCCGCGGTCCTTGGAAGCCACCCTGAACAGATGGGGCACCAGCTCGGCCAGCTCCAGCTCCAGGTCCTGCGCAATGCAACCCACGAAGGTACCGTGCTTGGCCTCCTCTGGGACAGAGTAGTGGAGCTGACCGCTTCCTGCCTGACAGGTTGTGAGGAGCAGGAGGCAGATCAGCAGACGCTGAGATTTCAGGCCTGGTCGCCAAGAAAACACCATTGCAAATAACGAGGTTCTCTAGTGTGAAACTGTCAGCTTAAAAGGAGCGTACATGAGATAGTTTATGAACAGTCTCCCTTTTCTGTATTTATCTGGTAAAGTTTATGGAGTATTCTGGCCACTGTGTAGTGGATTGTTCTGTGAATGGTTGGAATCTGGGTGCAGAAACAAAAATGATCCCTTTTCACCTTTTGAGTGTACAACGACATCATGTGACTGATCTTGTAAATACAAGATTCTCAGTTCTTTGGATTACTATTTCCTGAGTCACTCTAATTCTACTTTCAGATATTTCCATGGATCATTTATGAATGCTATTTAATTAGTATACGTGGTATTGCCAACAAAATACAAACACTTTCTTTTTGTGGTTTTAAAACTTTTCTTCTTCAAAGCTTTTCATTGTCTTTGAAATAAGATGTGACAAAAGCTACTCATCAGTTTTTATGGAGAACACTGCAGTGTACCAAACCCTTACAAGTCACAGTGAGATGGTGGCTTTTACTCTTCACAGTACTTGTTGTAGAACTTCTGGGGAAAGTCCAGAATTCCATCATCTCATAAAGAAAATTAAAATGTTTCTATTTAGCTAAATGATACTTTATATATAAGTTGTTTTATTCATAAATATAGTGAATACTGAATTCATCATAAATACGGAAGGTGTTGGGTTTTTGGTGCTTGATACTTGAAATTGATGACTTTTCATACTACTGCTATGGTTCTCACAACACTTTAAAGCAAAGCACATTTACAGATTCTAGAAACTTTTTCTCTGGCAGGAATTAAATGGTTTCATGTAAAATGTTGAGTCAAAGCCTTCAAATTCCACAATATTCTAAGGTTGCAATGGAATGTTAATATGAAAAAGATACCTTAAAGTGTCTTGGAATATAATCTTACAGACTAAAAACAAATGAATGTGACTGTGATACTGACATTTTGTTTCTCTCTAAATCTTTCCCTACAGGTCAGTTAGTAGTTACTCAGAATACAAAATCATAATGATGAGAGGGATAATTAAGAGACTTTTCATAATTGTATTCATTAATTCAAGACTAGCTTGTAAGTAAACATGGTTAAGAGCTTATAGATCAGTGTAAATATAGTAAATATGGGTTTAATAATTTTACTAACATCCAAATCAAACTCTTCAAGCCAATAATTTCTTGCCAGTCCTTTTACACATTACTACATAGTAATAAATGGGAAATGAGGTGAGATATTTACATAACCAGAAAGAAGAACCAAGAAGGACTCCAAAAGCACAAGTTAAATCAGCTATCAAACTGGCGCTATTGGTCAAAAACACTTGAATTTTGATGCTTTCAAACTAGTTATTTAAATAACTAGTCAAACAGTGCCACCAAGTTTATTCATTTGATATTTTCTATTTGCAAAAATGTCAGTGAGCAATAGTTGCTAATGAGTTTTAATGAAAATTCATGTGTCATATAGTCTTCAGACAGTCCAACATAACCAAATTAAGTAGATAGAAGACCCTAAGTTTAGCTTTAGTAGTTAACTGAACCAGAAAATATGTTGGCATTAGAAACTCACACAAAAGAATGTAACCCTGACATTAAGAGCAAATGCAAAAGGCACTGAATCTGTAAAAATTAATTTAAGTAATTTGAAATTACCTAAAATATAAAATGGCTATTAATGAAAATGCATGATTTGTAAAAATTTAGCCTGTAACCAAAACACTCCAAAGTCTTTCTAAAATTAAATTTAAGTGACTTTGAGTTATTCCTTAAGTACATTTAGACATGGATTATAATATATGCCCTATTCGTAAGGATTCATATTTTTTATCACTTAAATACTTAAGGGCTATTTTATGAATTGCAGTACAAAGTTCTTAACCCAGCCTGGAATGATGTTTCAGTGGATTAAGGCACTTTCCATCAATTGGCCCCTTGAGTTCAATCTCTGAAACCTAGAAGGTAGGAGAGAATGAACTCCTGCAAATTATTCACATTTGCACTGTGGCATGTGTGTACACACAACAACAAAAAAGACACACATAAATAAATAATTTTCTGAATAAAATAAAGCTCTAAACCAAGTTTCAGGAATGGGTTTCCATATGAATTCCTCCAGAATATTGTGCTAAATAATATGTTGTGAAATTTAAAGTGAAACGGTTTTATATGAGTCCCAAATTCTCCACTCTCCAAGAATCACAGAACTAGATGAATCACTTAGACATAACTGATCTTTGTTAGACTCTTTAATTTTTAACTTTTTATTTTATTTTATGTGTGTTTGACTGCATCCATGTCGTGCAATGCCCATGGAGGACAGAAGAGGGCATCGTGTCTCCAGAAACTGGAGTTATGGACAGTTGTTAGCTGTCATGTGGGTGCTGGGAATTGGACCCAGGCCCTCTGCAAGAGCAGCCAGTGCTCTTAACTAAAAGGAGCCATCTATCCAGCCCATTAGACTCTTCATATGTGATTATACCATATGAAAAAGAGCCAAAGGCATTAGAGAGATGATATTTACAGATAAATGAATTAAAATTCAAAATTAATTAAATGTTAATTATTAGTATACACTCACAATAGTAGATTTAGCTTTTCCTTTTCTATATAAATTTGAAAAACTCAGAAAAAGATGCAAATAAGCAGCTACTATAAACTTAGAAGATGGCCGTCAGTTGAACTAGAGAGATGGCTCAGCTTTAAAAGTATGAGCTGCTCCTGCAAAAGACCCAAGTTTGGTCCCCAGCAACCCCATGATGACTAACAATGTCCCTAAGTCCAGTTCCAGGTGATCCAATGTCCTCTTCTGGCCTCCACAAGCATTGCACAAACATGCAAAACAAAAACTAAATCAAAAAAATTAAGATGGTCATTAGCAGTAATAATGACTTGATTAAATAATGTTATTTGTCTAGTTTACTTTGGAAGCATAAATCAGCCTTGTCTGAGTAGGAAGTATTTAATAAATCTCTTGTCCTTTCAAGGAAAAAAATCAAGAATAGATCATTATTTCAATGGTAGCACCATTTTAGAGTGCAAGACTGGACTTTTTCTCCAAGTAATTTTAAAATGGATTTTGCCATACTGGTAGAGGATATTCAACAGTAGAAAAAATAAAGCAAATTAATTCAGGGCTAATGAAGAAGTTTCCATTGTTGATACAAACATTTTTTTAAGTAACATCAGTGTATGAAAATATCAAAGTGCAACACTGCTAACAGATAAACATGTGCAAATCAAATAACCCACTGTGATTAACCACATCACTGAGAATCAGAGATGAAGTAATATGACTTAATTCATGTGAAATAGTGATTATTCCACTCAAGTGAAAATAGAAGTCACTCTGGGAACTTCTTTTAAACATTTTCTAACAAAACAAAAAATGATGAAGACTGCCAAATTTACAGTATGCTTTAAATGAACCATCTCAAGAGAAAGGCTAAACAAATAAATGAAACAGCAAAGAGAGAGAGTAATAAGTTAATGAACTACATGAGTGACATCAAGAGGCATGAAATGCATTCCAGAATGACTGTGCTTACATTCTCAAAGATCCCATTTTGGACTCCACTATCTCCAGAACCCGAACCAGGAGGAACATTAGGACTGAAGGCCATAAGGTCGGTATTGGACCGGCCTTCTCCAGAGCACGTCTTCTGCCTCCTCTGCTGCGAGTAGGACCAGCTCCCTAAGGCGCTGGAGCACACCAGCATGGGCTTCCCAGGCCCGCAAGCGCCCTCAATGGGCAGCGCTGAGCAGCGCAGGGCGGTGTACAGCACCAGCGTGAGCACCAACAGGCTGGACACTGAGCATATCGCGATGATCAAATACATGTTAACATCCACTAGCGATGGGTCAGAGGATGCTGTGCCCTCCAACGCCCTCGAAGAGGCCTTCGGCTCCTGGTTGCTCTCAACCAGAGAAACCAGCACTGTGGCGGTGGCAGTCAGCGCTGGCTCTCCATGGTCCCTCACCAGCACCAACAGGCGCTGTCGCGGTGCATCCGCATCATCCAAGGCGCGAGTAGTGCTTATCTCACCCGTGTACAAACCCACGCTGAAAGGGCTGCGTTCGCCGCCTGCCCAAGACTGCAGTTCATATGACAACCAAGCATTGTAGCCAGAATCTGCATCCACCGCGCGCACCTTCAACACCACGTGTCCAGAACTCACGGATCTAGGCACCGGCTCCCTCACTGCGCCACCAGCTCCAACAACTCTAAGAGGCAAGAGCTCAGGCACGTTGTCGTTCTCGTCCAGCACAAACACCTGCAGAGTCACGTTGCTGCCCAGGGCAGGCACACCAGCATCCCGCGCGCTCACCTGGAACTGCAGCAGCTCCAGCTCCTCATGGTCCAGAGGCTGCAGCGCATACACCTTGCCGCTCTCCGCGTGCACAGACACGTAGCTCGACAGCGCGCGCTCGCCCACCCGCCGCTCCACCAGCGAGTAGGACACCAGCGCGTTCTCCTGCGCGTCCGCGTCCACCGCCGACACCGTGAAGATGTGGGCGCCCGGCGGGTTGTTCTCCTTCACGAACACCGTGTATTCGGGCTGCGCGAACGCAGGCGCATTGTCGTTCACGTCAGCCACCTCCACGGACACGCTGGCCGAGGCCCACAGCGAAGGCGAGCCTCCATCATGGGCGGTTACTACCAAATCATAGGCCGACACTTTCTCTCGGTCCAGATTGCTACCCAACACCAAAGAATAATAGTTTTTGAAGGTGGATACGATTTTGAAGGGGACTTTGGGTGTAAGAGAGCAGGTCACCTGGCCGTTGGCACCTGAGTCAAGGTCCGATACGCTAATCAAAGCAATGACTGTGTTTGGCTGAGTATCCTCTGGCACTGGGAGGGACAGGGAAGTCACGCTCACTTCCGGGGAGTTGTCATTGAGATCTAAGATTTCTATGGAGACTGTACAGTGACCTGCCATTGGGGGAGTCCCCTTATCTGTGGCCTGCACCTCAACTTCATAAAATTTATTTTCTTCATAATCTAAAGTTCCATTGACCCTCAGCTCTCCATTGTTTTCATCTAGCGTGAATAAAGGTCTTCCGTTGGGCTTAATCGACATCAAAGAATATGAAAGATCTGCGTTCACTCCTTCATCCAGGTCTGTGGCGTTTAACTTGATGACAACAGTTCCTTTAGCAGCATTTTCCGTTATTCTTACCTTGTATTCTAATTGATTGAACTCCGGATCATTGTCGTTAACATCCAAGACGCGCACCAGGAGCTGAAGTGTGCCGGTGAGTTCAGGTTTTCCCCCATCTGTGGCCGTCAGTAGCAAATTAAGTTCCGGGGTTTTCTCCCTGTCCAGAGATTTCTTTAAAATAAGTGACGGTCTTTTAGTCTGCTTGCTATTTGTGAGTGATTCTAAAGAAAAATACTCGTTCTGACTTAAACTGTAGATCAACATAGCATTCTCCTCTATGTCAGCATCCGAAGCTCCCTCTAGCGGAAAGCGCGAGTCTGGTGGCTTTGATTCTGAAATCCTTAGCCTTTGTTCTTTGAGAGGAAACACCGGCGGGTTGTCGTTAATGTCCCTCACCTCCACCTCCACGTGGAAAACCTGCAGCGGCCTGTCCACGATCACCTCCAGGTGGATGCTACACTCCGCGCTCCTCCCGCACAGCGCCTCCCGGTCGATCCGAGAGTTCACAAACAAAATGCCATTCTGCAGATTTACCTCCAGAAGGTCCCCGCGATCCTTGGGCACCACCCTGAACAGGCGGGGCACCAGCTCGGCCAGCTCCAGCCCCAGGTCCTGCGCGATGCGGCCCACGAAGGTGCCGTGTTTGGCCTCCTCCGGGATGGAGTAGTGGAGCTGGCCGCTCCCTGCCTGCCAGGCTGTGAGGAGCAAGAGCCAGAGCAGAGGTCGCAGAGTGCCGGATCCCCTTTTCTGAAAACCTAACATTGCATATGAAATTGGCTTCCAAAATGACTCCTTACACTTTCAGTATCAGATGCTTCCGTATTCAAAATCTCGATAAATTTTGGGGGAGTTTAAGAGGGTCCTTTTAGCCGTAGCATCCAGCATGATGGTGTCGGGTTTTGTATGTGGAGTGAGGGACTGTTCCGACCAATCTATGAATGAACTTTTTTCACCAAGCAAAGAGCGACACCTTGTGCCTGAAATTGTGAGTACTGTGCACATCCACCACCAGAGAATTTCATGTGTTTTGTTTTATATTTTGCCCAAAACAATTGCTAAGTGATCATTTATGTAGCGTTATAATTTTTTAAGTTCTATTGAAACACATGTGGAAATAGTACTTTACTGAATAACATCAAATTAAATTATTTCTATTTTTCACTTAATTATAAAATTGCTTTTTATCTAAATGCTTGAAGAAAAAGAGGACTCATTTCTTTAGATGAATCTTCTGGAAAACTAGAGTTAAACATTTCCTGAATATCTTGTCCCTCCTATAAAAATATCATCAAATTTGAATTGCCCTAATCACAGTCTCCCTTGTTACTTAGGCTGCTAGGAAACTCAATGGCAAAGAAATATCTTTTGCAGTTCTTGAGCATTGTTTTGTTGTTCTTGTTTGTTGTTTGGTTTTGTTTGGTTTTGTTGAATCCAGGGCTTGTGCATGCTAGGCAAGTGCTCAGCCTTTGAAGATTCATAATAACAATTGTCACGCCATCTCCAATGAAGCCCGCGTGAGATCCTCCGTGGGTTGAGGCTGGAACTTCAAGGAAGGTTGCCTCTTGGAATTGGTTGTGCTGAGAAACATGCAGTGTACTTGGCATGCTTTTACTTGCTATTATTTTTCTGTCACTGTATCTTGGGCTTTCTGGGGGCCCAGAAAGCACCTGGTGTCCTTGGCACCGCTATCACCGCCTTTAGTAAGATGAAATAGTTATGTTTATAAGCCCCATACTTGGAAGGATTTCATTAGAGCTACAGGATTAGAATGGGATACTGATGTAACTTGGGGTTTGAAACATATTAATGAACAGGAAAAAATAAAAGACAGTTATAAAGCAATATTATTGTGAATCACCTGGAATTCAAATAAAACTATTAATGATTATAGAGCTAGTATTGAAAGCACAATAGTGGTTTGAGGTCAGCTCACTGTGTAACCACAGAATATAAATTTTAAAAGTCTCTAATGTGACTCACCAAGATGAAAAACAGAAACTTTCTGTTCAGCACTAGTTAATGTTTGACAATGTATTTTGATTCACCTGTGTTTCGCTTTTGTCTCTGGAATCAGAACTCTTAAAAAATGGTTAAACCGCAAAACAATGGCTTATTGATGTAATCATGTAACTTTGTAATTTATAATCTGAGCTCTGCAGCTACAAAAATTACACTCAGACTTTCATCAAGCTCCTTTGTGTCTGTTTGTCACTCGCCGACTCCTTGTCCACCCGCTCAACGACCCTGTTCCCTTCGGACTGAACTGCCCCAGTCTGGGCTGGTCCATCGCAAACAATGTTCTTCACACTCTGTCCTAGATGTGTAGATTTAACTTCTCATATCTTTTTTTTAATTAAATCTGCTTGAACAAATTTATAAGATAGAAGCAGTGTTTGATATGTGTACCTATTGTGTAATGATCAGATCAGAGTTAATATAATCATCATCTCAAACATCTATAATTTCTTTGTGCTGAAATGATCAAAGTCCTCTGTTCTACCTATTTTGAACTATATAATATACTATCATTAACTATTTCATATCTATTCTCTTAAGTTCTGATTCTTTATTGCTATTGACATTTAATTGTTTTCTTGTAACAAATGACTAACTTTATGTCCATTGCAGAACATAAAAGAAAATAATTTTTTAAAATAATGTATTTTCCACTTGGGATGCAGAGGCAGGTAGATCTCTGTGATTTCAAGGCCAGTTTGGTCTACATAGTGAGTTCCAGGCCAGCTGAGGCTACAGGGAGACCATGCCTCAAAAATAGAACCAAAAATTTCTTTTCAAATTTTGTAATTTGAAACAATTTGCAAAGGAAAAGTCTGTTGATCAAGATGAATTTTTCATTTTACAATATAATTTCTCACATAAATTATATTACTAATAATATGAGATATCAAGATATTATATAATTCTCAATAATATGACAAAAGCAGCCTTTTAGATCACAGAATGTATTAGCATTCAATTAAATAAAATGAAACCAAGGCAAATAATTTTATGATGTCTCCTCTAAGTGTCTGCTATTGTGCTTAAAACACAGAAAATACTCAAACAGTTCATCTAAATGGCAAATCACCTTAGAGTTTGGAAATGGAATTTCATACAAGTAGAAAATGGGAGTTATTGAGGATAGTTTTAATTTCCTAAAGATGTGGTTATGTTTTTCTCTGCTCTTCATATCCACTTACAATTGAGAAGGAAAAAAGAGATGAGATAACATACGTTTGGAGAAGAAAATTATTCAGAAGAAACCAGTGTTTTGTTATAGAAGAATTTTTTTTTTGAAAGACAAAGGTCCAGGTTGGTTCTGAACTCCTGGGCTCAAGTGATACTCCTACCTCAGTGTTAAATAATTTTGATGATTCTTCTCCAATCTAAAAGTATTAAAATAACATGTGACAATGGTATAATGCATCTTTCAATAGTTTTCTTAATCTTGTGTTTTAAAATATACACATATGCTATTAATATTACAAATATGAAATTTCTTCCACTCTTTTGTTTACTCTTCTCTCAATATTATAACATTAGGACTCTCAGAAATAAAAGCAAGCTTCTATATTAAAAAGTTTAAAGAAACAGAACCATCAACTTTTATGACAGTGAATTTTTATGCACCTGTAAAATAATCAACCCCCTGTGTTTTAATCCACATACATTAGAAGAGAAACAGTAAACTAAACACGATCTGTGGAGTATGTCAGGTATATTTTTGAACAAAAGAGCAACACCCCTTCATCCACCTCATTACAGGAATTGGGGTTTGAGATGCAATATGGGGTCTTCCAAGGTAAAGAAATAAAATATGAGGGGCTGTACCCCTGAGTAGAGAGATGATGATATCACGTGTTTGAATTAAAACTAGATTTTTAACTAAGGTGTTTATTTCCAATAATATATATTTTGTGAATATATAAAGCTGTATTGGAGAAACACCAATTTTAAAAAAAGCTTGATAGAGTGTGAGTCGATGACCCATCTTTCACATTTTGGTTGAAATAGTTTGGGTATAAACATCTCAGTCAACTACAGAGAAGAGATTATACTCTCTCTAAACTTACCTTTGAGGATGGACCCAATATCTAACCATAGACTAATGCAAAAAAGTCATATCAATACCAGTACTACCATTGATTTTGTAAAAATTGATCGAAGATTTGATGCTTGACCTTTGTTTTTGAGATAGGGTCTCCCTGTAGCCCCAACTGGTCTGGAACTCCCTATATAGACCAGGATGGCCTTGATCTCACTGAGATCTTCCTGCCTCTGCCTCCTGAGTGCTGGGAATAAAGTCATCTGCCACCATAACTGGCTTGTGTCCGGCTTGTGCCTGATTTACTAAATCAATCTGCTCAGACTTAAGTTCTACCTGTGCATCCTACTAATTACACATTAAAATGCAAGTTTTATGTCTTATTAGCTCACATCACCCATTATCTTTCTATATAGGTCTAGTACTATCATTTCTTCAAGATGAAAAACACAAAAATGAATTTCTCAGAACCTCAAGCTATTTTTCAAAATTAGATTATAAATTCACTATCCAAGCATTGTACTGTCAAAATTATAGGATTTACTCAATGATACCATCTCTGTTCTATCATGGTTTAGTCAAATAAACACAGCTATTTTCTCTCAAATTATCTGTTCAATTGGCACAAATCTCTCAGCCAATAACACTAAAAAAGAATGAATCAATAAAGATCTACATATATCTAAAGATTTTCCCATTTCCATGGGAAACCAATTCCTTTGAAAATGTTCATGAAGTATACATGGTTGTAAACATTTTTCAAATCCCTTAGCCATGTTCAAAATCTCTAAAACCATCACTTATATTTATCTACAATACTATTATTATCCACAACAAAGAAAAATGAGGTAATTTTATGTGTGGCATTATACTTTGATGTTCTACAAGAATACTGTGAACCACAGTCTAGATTTTTCTCATGTTTTAAATATTTCTTATTTATATCACTTCCATAGAATGATAGATCTATGATCCATAGGTTTTATACAGGAACTCTTAATTATTTACACTTTGGCATTGATTAAAGGAAGTTTGTATTGATCATCAACATGACTAAGGAAATAATCATTCAATATGAAAAAGCTTGATTCTTGTCTCAGTTGTAGCATTATGCAAAATTAATGATTACTATAATCATGAAGAACTTTTGGAATCAAGGCAGAAAAGAGCACTCACCCATACGCAGATATTATTTCACTTTCATACCCAGCCATCCTAGATCAAAGAAGAATTTGACAGAAGAAAGTTCACACTGAAATCATAAATGTGACTTTAGATTCTGAAAAACATGTATTTAGATATCACTGTGTATGAGGTGAATGGCCTTGAATAAGACAGATATCTCAGCTTTTCTTACCTTGTCATTAAAATTCAAATAGTCATAGGTATAGTATTTTATAAATAATTGTGATAATTAAATGAAATAATGTATCTAAACCATTCATACCTTGTCTAACAAATAGAAATAATGCATACAATGGTGGCTTAATATACAATAAGCAATACTTGTTTGTGTTCTTTAATTGCAAATAGACATTGTGGCAACATGAAATAGGGTATGCGGCATAGTTATCCCTTTTCTGAAGATTTTTCTAATATTTATCTCAATGGAAATCATCCTTCCAAAATTCATCATTCAAGGTACACACAGCCATTAACACCATCTCAGCATTTCTAGCCACTTTACCCAATCTATGGCATGGTTCGCTTTCTATATATAAAAAGTATGCTATCTGCAATTAGAACCGAAAAAAAACAAAACTACCTTCCACATTGTTTTATACATATATATATGTGTGTTTATGTATAAATTCTATCATTTCTTAATATAAATTTTCTGGGGTCCCTTTAAAGAAAACAATTTATATATACATGGTGTTGAGACAAAAATATTTTTTACATTAATTAGAGTATACTGTGTTCAGTTGTGAAGTGGTTGTCAGAAGGAAGGGCCTTTATTGACATTTGTGGCTCTTAGGTATGAGTTACTGAAAGCAAAGTCATTTTGAGCATAATGTAGTTGGGCAAGCACAGGTAATGATATTGGACTTCACCATATATGAGAAGACTCTTCAAATGAAAGCACAAAGAAGTGTGTATTTTCCTACCCTAAATTATTTCTACCCAGTTGCACAATAAGGAACAAGAATGGAAGAAAAATAATAATGATTCACAATGAAAGACTTTCAGACAAGTAGAAGAACAAGGTAAATTAAGCTGGAGGAAAGCAGCAATGAGTCCACAGGCAAGTGAGCAGAATTAACATCGTGTTAGATAGTCAAAATAGTCTAGCTGAAGCAGTTGATGATTACAAAAGTATAACACGATTAATGAAGAAAAGGAAAATCACCTCCAGCACTAAAACTCTACCGACTGCAACCGTCAATTCACAAAGCATCCCACAAAATATAAAATGACAAAGAAAATGGAGCTGCTTCAGGC